CGTGCGTGGTGTGTGGCAGAGATAGTGGAGGGCAGCCGCCTGGGACTTCGGGCGCGCGTGGAGGCACGGGGCCCGCTAGATGCAGACGGCCATTTCAGGGGCTCAGCGAATGAACAACGCTGATTACGAACCAAGTTGTGACGCGGGATTTTGCGCAAGTTCGGCCCTTTCAAGCAAAGTTATGACCTGCCTTTGCTCCCACTGGCGCTTGCTGACTTTGAACTGGGCTGTGCGAGCTGCCTGGGTCCATATAAACTGGATCTGCACGGGGGCAGTGGAGACACAGGGGTAGATAGAGCATCGGGAAGAGGGGCTGGAGATGGGCAAGTGGGTTTAAGTGCGCTAAAGTGAGATACGAGTTGCAATCAATGGCGTCCTAGAGACAGGCCTTCCTTGACATACAACCAGAGGAACGCCTCCAGGTACAAGCTCTGGTAGCTGGTAGTTCACTAGAGTGGAGGCGTTTGCCATGCCTGAGCAGATGTTCGGAGGGTTCGTGCCAAATTGTGCATCAAAAACCTCTTGCATTCTCAACCCCGGCAGGAAGAGCAACCTAGTTCTTGCGTTCCGCGACAGTTGCCTGTTGATAGATATTTGCATTCAATGTGTTTGGACACAAATTGCCGGGAACTCGTCACGTTTGTTTATGAAGAGCAAGCCTGGTGAGTTTCGGTCTGCAGGTGCTTTCGCAGGATGCTGTGGATCGGCGCCTTGGCTTGCACGGGGGGTGGACGCGTGTTCTTTTGACCGCCACAGTTGCGGGACAGACCGTGTGTGCCACTGTGAGGAACAATAGCCTTGCGTGCAACACGGCCTTCGCATTGAAGCTGCAAGGAACTATCGGCAGCTCTCCTTCTTGGATGTGCGGAATTGCCAGGCCTCTGTGCCGAGTGACAAGGACTGAAGCCCTTCGGTGCTACGCAGTTCCGGGATGGCAGCAGAGAGTTTTGTCACGGATGCAGGGTATTCAGTTTGCCCCCCACCCGTGGGGTGGGGAGTGGGAGGAGATGATCTTGTCGAAGATCGCCAACGTGGAGGCCTTCAACCTGCGTTTGCAAAGCCTGGTCTTCGGCACCTGCGGCCTTTTTGCGGACTGGCAGGATGGCCTAGAGCGCACCAAGCAGGCGGTGTGACATTGCGGAGTTGGGGATGGGCATGGACCCCCAGGATCCTTTGCGAAGCAAGGATGAATCGGAAAAGTGAACCAGAGCCCCCCAACAATGTCTGCAATAGGCACCTCGGGAGTGTTTCGAGACACAGTGTGTCCCGTGTGGCCAATTTTTCCCGTAAACGAAATCTTTGCGGTGAAGAATGCTTTGCCTGTCAGGTGGGACGGATTCTTAGGCGTGCCTTGACGGATGCAAGCACTAGTTCTGCAGATTCTTGGCCTTCTTTCAGCAGCTCGTTCCTCGCTTGGACCTATAGCTACCGCTTTTGCTGTGTGGGTTTGGCAAGTGTTTAGGGCATCTCCCTTGAAAGGGGCTCCATTTGTTTCATCGCCAGCAGTCACTTGGCGAGCAAATCCTAGGTTCAGGGACCTAGATGAGCTTCCTGTGGTGGACGTCTGCTATGACGAGGGCGAGTACTCTGCTGCGGATTGCATGAGCCAGATGAGTGACAACCTGCAAGTTGTGATTTGTTGGTGATCCAGTCTTGCAGAAGTTCCTGAGATGGTCCACTGATGCAGATTGTTCTTCCTGATGGTTTGGGGATGGACCGATGTATTTTTAGAGATTTCCACAGGAATCGTGCGATCTTTGAAAAGCACGGTGAGTTTGCATCAGAGGTTTTACCATTTTCCAATTTCCTTGTACAGATTGCTGGCGCGTAGTTTACTGAGCTGCCACTTTGGGTCGCTTACAGATTTGCACCCGGCGCATGCTTTCAAATTCTTGAACGCAGCCAGCGAGCGTGCAATCGCACGCAGGGTTTTTCTACGCCAGTGTGCGCAACTGCTAAAAATGCAGCCCAGAGAGTTGCACATTATGTATGACAAGTGCTGCGGGCCCAATGTGCTCCTTCTGGGAAATGGCAAGCACAAGGCGTAATTGTCTGCCTGGATGCAGTGCTGCAGCTTGTGCAGCACAAGCCGCGGTACAGTGCGGTTGGATCAACAAAGACACCTGGCCAGTTCGGCGCGAAGCAAAAGCTGTTGACCTGGATTTTCTTGGCCAGTTGATACGTTTGTTTTGCTGGCCAGTCATGCCTGATTTGCATAAGAACAGAGGCAAACACACAAGCACTTCTAACATGGCTTTGCACTTGAGTTGATGTTCAGGGCCTCCAATTGGAACACATCTTGCGAGGGCCCACGGGTGCTGCTGGAGCTGAGTGGCACCGGCAGCAAACAGGACCTTCCGCTCGGTGATGGTCACGGAACGAGAGGCACGCTTCAAGAGACTTGTAGCCTCAAAGCACTGCCCTGCAAAAATGGATCCTGTTTCATGTGGTATCTTTGGTCTTCGGTCCGTTTCGGTCCTTTCTGTTCAGGATTGGCTTACTGTTTGTTGTGCTCCTAGTATGCGTTTAGTGCTGGTTTAGCATTGGTGTGGTATTGCTCAGCATCACTTTAGTGTTGCCTCTTAGAAAACAAAGACGTTAGTGGCACGCAGTATTGGTAAGCACGTGTCTCTTGGGTATTCAGGGTGGTGCCCGGACGGTGCCTGCTAAAGATAGTCAGGTTTTTGTTTTGTTTTTTGCGTGGTGGGCAATTTGGGGAGATTTTGCAAAGAAATCAGGATCTGAGAGCTGGTGGGTCACGCTCCCTATAACAGAGAGGGACGCACAGGCCCCTGTTCTGCAAATGCGACGAAAAACAGGGAATGGCACCTGGCACATTGCTTTACAGTCTGGGCGCAATGCGTTTTGACGATCCTCCCCAAACACTTAGGGCCGGAAGACCACGAACCCCCAACCCCACTGAGGGCCCAACAGGCAGGTGTGCGTCAGTGGGCTTGAGATGTGTTTATTTGGGTGTTTGTTGTTGTGCTTGCTTGTTTGCTTGCTTGCCAGTGTTTTTTTTGTTTTTGCTGCTTGTTGTGTGCTTGTTTGCTTGCTTGTTTGGGTGTTTTTTTTTATGTTTGCTTGTTTGCTTGCTGTTTTGCTTGTTAGTGTGTTTGCTTTAGTATAATTGTTTTTTTGCTTGCTTGCTTGCTTGCTTGCTTGCTGGATCGTTTGCTTGTTGGGTTGGTTGGTTGGTTGATTGGTTGGTTGGTGTGGGTGTGAGGGTGTGAGGGTGTGTGTGTGTGTGTGCGTGTGTGCGTGTTTGCTTGTTTGTTTGTTTGTTTGTTTGTTTGTTTGTTTGTTTGTTTGTTTGTTTGCTTCCGGTGTTTCTTTGTGTTTCATTGTGTGTGTTTCTTTGTGCGTGTTTGTTTGTTTGTTTGTTTGTTTGTTTGATTTCGGCCAAGCGAAGACCGCGAATGGTGTCGCGCGGTTGTCTACCATAGCGGATGTCCTGCCCATCCTCCGAATCGAGGACGAGGATGACGCACGAAGTTCCGGCCAAAGTTTGGGAGTGCGTTGGGAACCCTTTGCTTCCTCAACTGTGGGATTCGGTCCATCCTCCTGCCGTCTTGGCATTTTTTGGAATTCTTGTTTCAACACCGAGACATAGATGTGACACCGCGAGGACGTGCCGGCTGACCAGCGCCGACTTGGTCCCTTCACGCTTGGGTCGGGGCAGCTCGGAGTGGCCCACGCCATGGGGCATTCGTTGGTCTTCCCCATTTTTCGGGTTGAGCGATACGCACCGGAATCTGAACATGTCATTTTGAGCGGAGGGCTGCTTGATGGCAGCCTCTTGTAGACGAGTCGTTTCTCGGCAGGAAAGCGCCGTGGATCATGGGACGTCGACACCAACGAGAGTTCTTGCAGCTTGGCGCGTCAAGGGTCCAGTTCAGATGCGCAGTTGCGACTGCTGCACCTGTTACCTGGTTGGTTCCAAAATGGCTGGATTCAGGTGGATCGCGCTTCATGGGTCCAGTGCCTTGAATTTCAATCCTGCGGTCTTTGAGGAAGGTGTTTCCAGGGCAATCAATCAGGTATTCAGCATAGTTTCATGTTCTGTCAGCTGTCATTGTTGTGTTGGATTGCATTTCTGTCACGCAGATCCCAAGCACTCAGACCAAGTGCTCGCCTCGCTTGCGTTGGAGGCAAAAGACCGTCAAGGAGGAGTGCCTAGATTTCATCAGCAGCCCAGGGCTTAGCTCCAGAAAGTCTGCCTTCGCTTTGGGGTCTCTGAAGGCAATGGTCAGATGTCCAGTGTCTTTGCAAGACACGGCTTCCTTTCTTTGAGCCCGAAAAACCAGCAAGTGGAGCTGAGCTGGTGAGTGCCATGGTGTGGGCAGCTTGGTTGCAGCCTCTTTTTCCCTAAAGACAAACCCATATGTTTCGAAGCAAAAAAGGTCATGAGGCTTGAACGTCTTCTGGGCGTCTTCTTCCATCTCTTGCCAGCTTGTGCTTTTCTTGTGAGCGCGTGCTCGCTAGCAGCTGCAATCTCTACTCCGAATGTAGGCAGCTTATGCAGACTGAGGGGACCACTTCGCCATTGCGCATGAGGACAACACTTTTGTGCTGCTGGCGCTGTCGCAGCTTCTCGTCAGAATCAAGAGAGATGCATGCGGGAAAGACAAACGTGCGTCAACGGCATCAGCGGCTGGCACAACAAGGGATTGCCACGATCATGCGGACCGTTGCTTTGGCATCTTGCCAAGGAATGTCAGTGTCATGCATTGCCCCTTGAGTCCAACCAGCATGGCGGTTCTGAGGAACCGGCTTTGGCTTGATCGCGGCAAAGTCGAAGGAGCTAGGACGCCTGATCCATCCGGGCATGCCGCATCATGCCGCTCACATCTAGCATTTTGGGGCACGGCTGTGTTGTTCCTCTTTTTTTGCCGTGAAACCAGCATCTTTGGGATTTTATGTGAGGTTGTGGACATACAAGTGGCGGATCGCCATCAGAAGGCCTGGGGTCCCCTGTTTGGAACACGTGCAACAAAAAAGGGCCATTGCGGGAGCATGCGCCACCAGAAAGCCAGGCTGTGCTCAAAGAACATCTGCGTTTGTCAAAAGTAGCAGCAGTAGCTGGCAACGCCCACCTTTTGAGACATATAGCAAAGCACGGGTGATCAGCAGGTACAGTACAAGCCATGCGGCTACAGCTCCAGGATTTCCATAACACCAGACAAAGCTCTTTTGCGCTAGTTTCTCGTATCAAAGGCATACCAGTCATACCGATTCAAGAAAGGTCTGAATGCAAACTATTTTTATGCGCAACAAACCAGAGAAACCACAAGAAGCTATGCAATCGCAAAAACGCACAGCGGCAGCCCTGCAAGGCCCTCACAGCAGCTGCATTTCCACTCATGTCAGAAAAGTCTTTGCAGCATTGTGATCCTCCTCCCAACTTGTTCGAAGCTTTTCCCTGTTCTCAATGGCTCCCCAACTTGCCCCAATTTGTTCCCTGACCTTTTGCCCCCGACTTTTTTCCAAGCGTTTCCAATATATGCCCCAACTTGTTCCCAGCCTGTCTTCGCAATTTTTCTCAATTTGTTCCCGCAAGAAAGAGGCCTCAGCATGCCCACATCAATGGATCAGTGCCCTGATGATGAACCCAACTCCAGAAAATTCCTTAGTTCCGGTCATACTCTCAACCCTTTTTGTCGATTCTATGCAGACTTGAACAATTAAAACATTTCACTGAAAAGACCTCAATTGAAAAGGCCCGAATGGTTATTTAAAGATCATATCAGAGACTTCCCAAATCTTTCTCATTGGTTTCTCGTATTTTCTCGTAGGCTCCACATGTTTTGCATAGGCTTGTCTTTTGGGCACCGGTTCCGGGCGTCAGGAGTTTGACCCGCGACGAGATGTTGCCGCTGCGCCCCGGAGATCGGATTCTTCTGGGCACCGGCGCCTGGAGCCCAGTTGGGCTTTTGGAAGGTTTGGTGCAAAATCTCTCATTTGTAATGTGTTCAACAGGAAAACTAACAGAGGATGGATAAATGGCACTTAGGATCTCCACCCTTGCGCAGGCTAGGCGGTGATGCATGAAAGCGCCCCAAATGCTCGATGACTTGGAAGCCGTGTGGTGGCTTCAGACCACTTAATGACTTGTCAAACATAGCCTGGCCTCACTGGAAGCTATGGTAAGAAGCTCATAGGTGAGGTGAGTCATAGCTGGCAAGCCTCTTTTTGGCCATTCCTGAAAGAAAAAAATATTGAAATCGGGCACTCCAGAGCAGGGCCGCCTTTCCGAATTCCAGGCATTCGCGGACATTTGCAGTGGTTGCCTTTCCGAGAGTTGTGTAGCCCAACTGCATCACACAGTGCGGGCGCAGTATACACCAGAACGTTGTGCACCGGTCAGTGCAACTGATAGGCACAAGCCACTAGCTGTCGCCCAAGCTCAAGCTCAAAACTCGAAAAGCACTTTCAGAAGTAACTGCTTGCGTTTCCGGGCTTTTTGCGGCCGTCACTGGTGGTTCGGAAAGCTTGTGGCACGGGACCTTTGATTGAATGGGGTGTTGAATTTGCACTTGCTTTGTGGCGGGCAAGTCTTGTCCGTGGGAAAGCCCTGATTGCAAGTGAAAGGCTTTGAACTGCATTTCTTCCCAATTCTCAAGGATGCCGCGGACTGCCAGAGGCGGGCTGAGGAAGGGGAAATGACTGGGAGCGGAAAATGTTCCTTGGGTGAAACACGGTGTCCAATAAAAGTGTGGAAGTGGCGTGTTCATTTTGCAGCTGTCACTGGAAAGCCCTCCACATGAAGGACGCAAGAATTTTGCTTGTATCTTCCGGTTGAAAAAGTGCTTACCAAAGACGGATTTGCATTTGATCAGCAAAGGCAACACATTGCCAAGCAGCAGAAGTGGCCGAGTACTTGACTTTGTAAGACGGGTCAATTTGTGATCTTATTAGTGCAGATCGATGGTGTGGGCCCCGTCAGGCTCTGCTGGCGATTCAGCCTGGCCAGGGGCCCAATGTGCGGCGGTTCGAGGGGTACTGAGACTTACCTCCGTCCATGGTGAGGGAAACCATCCCCTCCCTCCTTTTTGTTCAGCTGGTCCCCCAACAGGCAACAACAAGGGCGCACTGCAAGCCCAGGAGAGGATCGGGGCTGCTTCCAGAGCTTCAAGAGGTGCGAGTGCTGTCCGGTTGACCCCCAATTACCTGGCGCCGGCGCGCGGAGTGTAAATTATCTAAGCTGAAGAATAGATGGCACAGACCGTTTTTGTGAGCCATCTATTTGCCGGGTAGAGTAGATGATGCATCGATTTCAGGCATTATCGCAGTAGTCGATTCCAAGCAAAGCAGTATCCGGGTAGAGTTGCATGGTCTAACCGAGGTTTTCCCATTAAATAAACTCACAGCCAGAGTGTAGCTGTCACCAGTTCTGGCTGAGAGGTTGCTTTTCGGTCACAAAGTGGCATGCCTGGTGGCAAAAACGGGCACGCCACGAGAAGGAACGACGCGTGTGCGCTGGCAGGACGCTGCTCTTGAGCGGGGTGAATTGAGGCTTCGCGAACAGCCTTGCACGCAACCGGCAAGCGCCGGAAAATCTGCGCCAATGACTTGCCTGCCCGCTTTTCTCTGAAGATGTTCAACTGGAATCCTGGAACGTCACTCGGCCACAGTCAGAGAGAAGCTGGCAACATTCAGGACTCGGCAAATGTATGATCCACCGACAATCGGTGAGACTTCCGAATTCCGGAGCGCATTGGAAAAGGAGCATGTCGAAGCGTTCTTGCAAAGCCCTTAGACTAACTTGCGCAGAATCAGTTGCACTCAGTTACATGGACCAAGTTGCACCGAGCCATCTACGTAGATCAACTTGCACAGCCCAACTTCGTAGAGCCATTTGTACAGAGTGCGCAGAGTTAGTTGCACAGAGGTGTTTAGCGAAGTTGCAGAGAGGTACTTGCACAGACACGCGGCTATGAAAGCAGTGTCAAGCGTATCTCAAAAGAAGTTTAGTGAGAAAGCTTCCGCAATACGAAAAGTGGAGCACCCACATGCAAAACATGCGAAGGGTGGCTCTGTTCTGCGCACGGGTTCGCGACGATCTCGGAAAGTTGTCCAACGGCACGGCCGCGCAGAGAGTTCCGCAAGGATGTGACAAGGGTTCCCCAAGCCTCAACAAGGTTCCACAAGGGTTTCAGAAATGTTCTGCAAGGTTTAGTGCGTCGTGCGCCCGCCGCTGAAAAGCCATCGGAGCAGTAAAATGAGGGCTCAGAGGATCGCTTTGCTCATGGGCGGAACACTAAGCAAAACCGAAATCAACGCTTTTCAGCACACTTTCATTGTTTTATCACCTGCTCACTTGCTCAGGCAGGTTCTCGCTAAGTTTCAGCTGCGTGGCAGGCGCAGCATTCGTTCTCACGGACATCAGAAATCGTAACAGGCGCAGCACTTTGGGAAGATGAGTCGCGCGGTTCGTGAGTTGCATTGGAGTGGACGCGCGAATAACTAGCAGGCGGGCACTTTCGAAAGCTCGACTACAGATTTCGTGGCAGGCGCAGCGCTTTCTCAGGGCTTAGTTGGTGGAGCACCCGCTCAGTAAGCGGGAGGTCGTGGGTTCGAATCCCACAGGAGGCTTTGTCGCATGTTGGCAGCGAAGAACAGGCAACTTACGGCATGCATTACAAAAGATTAGAAGGCGGGAAGAGGGGACGAAGAGGAATGTCAGGATGGCCAGGATGGCCACGATGTATAGTGTTATACACAGCGACGCTCCCAAAAAGGGCCAAAGCCGAGGTTCTCAACACGGTCCAAGTGTCTCGTGGGTTTCCGCAAAATTTTGAAATCGATTCCGGCAGCCGGGTTTCCGGTGACCAACAGCTTCCCCTGCGTCGCGCGGGGCTCCCGACTTCTTGGAAGTTTCTTGTCTCAACGCCAAAGCTGGGCGTACAGCGTTGCACGAGGTTCCCAACGGGTCTCCCTGGTTTCGCACGGGTTTCCCCAAGCGACCTTGGAGGTTCGAAGCTGGGTGCACAGCGTTGCGCTAGGGGTTCCCGACGGGTTTCGCCTGTTTCGCGCGGGTTTCCTTCACAGCTTTTCAAGCGACATCCGGTGAGCTTGAGACAGCCGGGATCGAGCCTGCGACCTTCCCACCTGGCTGTTCTTTGGCTAGCCAAAAAGTAGTTCCTCGTAAGTTTCTTGCGAGCCAAAAATTGTTCCGAGTTCCGGCGCCTGCTCCTTGGAGCAACATGCCGAGACCCGGGATCGAGCCGGGGACCTTCAGATCTTCAGTCTGACGCTCTCCCAACTGAGCTATGGCGGCTTCTGCAGGCACTGAGAAGCATGTCCAACAGTAGTCGGCTTTTTGAAGGCGCGGACGTGAGCGCCAGAGCCCATACACCTACATATCGCGCTGCGGATCGAACTGGCGACCTTCAGCGTGTGAGGCTGACGTCATAGCCACTAGACCATGGGTGCTTATGCAGGAGAAGCGGTTAGCTCTCCACAAACTTGCTGCGAATGCTGGGCTACCTTTCTAAAGGCAAACTGGGAATCGATGACATGGAAAGAGAGCGAGAAAGAGAAAGAAAGAAAGAAAGAAGAGCAGAGAAGGAATGGCAAGGAAGGGATCTGGTAACATAAATCATGAATTAAAAAGTTAATATTTTGCTTACACGTTACCACTGGTTTATTAGGCTGTAGGCCGTAATGCATTTCCAATATATCAGAAAATTTGGTTTTTGGGATAGCCTAATAATATAATTTGATTATATAAGGAAAAATAAATATATTTTTTCCTTTATTTGTTTTTTTATGTTTTTTATATTATATTTTTACGAAAAATATATATATTTGTACTTAAAATTAATGAAAATTTATAGTAGTTTGAAGTTTATTTGTCTTTTTTTTTATGATTTAAAACATGTTTATTTTGTTTTTGTTAATTGATTTTATTTTATGGTTTATGATATTTATTTATTATTATTAAAAAGAATTATCGTTAGTATTGTTATTATAGATAAAGATTACGATTAAGTAATCGTAGATAGTTTATTGATTTTGATATTTGGAATTGGGTGCTTGTAATATGGATAGCGTTTTATATGCCTTTATATAATTTGATTTTATTTTCGATTTTATTATTTTATATAATTCGGTTTAATGGTAATTTAGGTTTATAAAAATTTAATTTTATATAATGTAATTCTATATATTTTAATTCTATAAAATTAAGTTATATAATTGTTTTTGCCAAAATTTGTTTTTTGGTTAAATTATAAAGAGTAAAATTATATAGAATTAAATTATAGAGAGTTAAATTTAAAAGGATTAAATTATATAAGTTTGGTTTATAGAAGTTATTATATCGATGTAAAAGGGGGTTGGAAAAACACATGAAAGGAAGCGTTTGGGGAAAAATGTTTTTTGGGTAAATTTTCTAATGTTTAACACAAAGCTCTGGTCTTATAGTGGAGCTTATGGGTTTTGCAAAATTCTCTATTCTTAGGTTTTTTTGCGATTTGTTTGTAATGGTAATTGGTAATCCTGCATCCGCCCGATAAAATCCTTTTGTAGGGGATGGGGGGGGAAGAGCCGGCACTCCTTTAAGCATGCTCTCGAGACTTGCTTAGAAATCGCAACTTTGTAAGGCCCTACTTACAATTTTAAGGTTCGGGAAACCCGGTATTTCGTTTTGTCTTCTCGTTAATTTTTTTGTCGCCGACTTAGATTATCCCAGCCAGATAATTGATTATACTAACCGCCTAATTTATATTGCATACAAAATTAATAATTATCATTCCAAGATAAATAATATATAATTATTTATAAAAAAAATATCTACCAAATCCCAATTATATTTAATCTAGCCTCTACTCATATAATCTTAATCATCGATCTACCCTCAAAGTAGATTTAAAAGGATATAATAAACAAAATCTACACAAAACCAAAAATAGATTAGTCATAATAATAAATGGAATCAATATTAAGTTTTAGTTCGAAAAACTAACGGCGAAAAGTTTAATAACCAAAAAACCAAAACAAGAACAATATTCAACAACATCAACAAAACCACCACCACCACCACAACAAGAAACACCACCACCACCACCAAAAAGCAACAACAACAACGACGACAACAACATCATCAACAACAATAACAACAACAATAAAAGTAAAAAACACAAAAACAACAATAACCACCAACAACCAACCACCAACAACAAAAACAAACAACAACAACAAAAACAACAAAAATACAACAAACACAGAAAAAACATAACAAACACAATAAACACGACAGCCACAACCACGACAAACACGACAAACACAACAAAAAAAACAAACACAACAAACACCAACACAACAACACCAACAACAACACCACCAACAACACCACCAACAACACCACCAACAACACCACCAACAACACCACCAACAACACCACCAACAACACCACCAACAACAACAACACCAACAACAACACCAACAACAACGCCAACAACACCACCAACACCACCAACAACAACAACAACACCAACACCACCAACAAACCACCAACCACCAACCACCAACCACAAACACCACACAACACACAACGCAACACACAACACACAACAAACAACAAACAACAAATAACAAACAACAAACAACAAACAACAAAGCAAAAAGCAACAAGCAACAAGCAAGGATTTTAATAGTGCCACCAAGTGTTTCATTACGATAATGCTTTTCAAAAAAAAAATGATTTGTGGGTATAAGGGTTGTGCCCACGAGGATTGCAAACTATGATTTAGTATGAGAAACTATAAAATTCCCCCGTATTTCTTCATAACCTTAAACATTCTTCTACAAGGCATACGAAACCATTCCTTATTGAAAAGGGCACATTTTCTTCAACAGGCAACCCCACCATAAAACTACTTGAAAAGAATTTTCCCTATATTACATAGAGAATAGTATTATCGTTAACACATAAATGAATAGGTGAGGTAAAATTTACAAACAGAAAACAAAACAAGCCCGTTTCAAAGGTGTTGAACACGAAACTCAAGGAAGTGGTGAGGACTACACAAAGAACAGTCATTTAATGAAAGGCGCTAATCGTCCAATCACAAGGGGCAGACCCTTACAGGATTAACTCAAGCGATTCAAGTCCAAAGTCACTGACAAGCAACAAGCGTCCCAGGGATATGCCAAACACCTGCTCGGATTAGATTAAAGGGGTGAAAGGGCTGACGTTGATATGATGTCGTTTTCGCTTTTGCACATTTGGTTTTTACATTCAATCATTCAAAGTCGGCCTTTATCGTAAAAGCAGTTTGAAGTATTCCGTGTTAAAAATATATGAGCAACAGTACTTCTTCGGTTTAATCTTGCTAGCTTGATTGCTCATCAACTTATCATAATGTAATGTGATTTCGTCAGTCAAGCTAATGCTTTGCTTGTGGGTTGTTGCTTCTTGTGTATAATAAAATAGTGTTACCAGGGTTGATGTTCAAAGATTCAATTTCATCATCACCTACTAGAAAACCTACATT